TTCAGATTTCGTGATCTCTCTTTAAGCATCCCCAGCAGTTCGTGTTATGTATTGGTAGTTCTCACTTTTTTATTGTTACTGCTTCGTGTTATTCACCAATAACGATTTTAGGAAGCCATTGAAACTGCTATTAGGGATGGATTGATTCTAGATGCTATGATTCTCGCGAGATGGGTGTGTCCACAAAAGCTGGATAAAGTTGACTCAGCTTTTTTGGCTCAACGCTCAGAACAGAGTCCCGTCATGACTCTCTTGAGCGTTGCGCACGGTCTTCCGGCTCCTATTTTGGCATGTTTTTATTATATGATTGTCTGAGTTATTTTTTTATATCAAATATTTTTTCGTAATGCATTTCATCTTGAACAACAAAACTTTATTATTACTTTTCTTGACCAACTGAACGGTATTTTAGCAGACATTCAGATTAATATTTTTTTTTGAAAATATTTTTTTAGTTAAATCCACCTACTGATGATACTGGCAGTTGGAGATCACATGCCGCAATAATATTGGCAAATTTAGCTTCAGAAACTGCCTTTCAAATGGTGTATAACTTAGGCAAGGCTTTAGCTCGACGGGAGTACCATGCGGCTGCAGATTTTTGTTTCTTAGCCGTATGTTTGTTGGCCGATTACGATCCTTTCCGGCCGGTCATTCCAAGGTGAGACTGACAAAGTAGTTTTATAGAAAACTACCGCTATAACCTGATTGCCAAGGAATCTTTTGAATTTTTAAGATGCTGGTGATGTAACATATTTTTGTGTCTTGATTTTTCAGTGATGAGGACGACGTTCAGAGTCGCCAGCACATAACATTGGTTCATGCTAGCCTACCAGATGATGAGGCTGAATCAGTGAATTGTTCTTATGGGTAATTTTAAAAACAGCTTATTTTGTTACTCATTCTTTTTAGTCCTTTAAAGTATTCTTTATATGGCATTAAGTTGCTTATTTTTAACCTTTTTGTGTTATTGTAGTTTTTCTACCATCGACTTACACGCCACTGAAATTTTTGAATATGGTTTACGACTTGCTTGTAATGGTTATCCAGTTCGTTTAACCAATTCTTGCGAATATCAGAAATACCGCTTCAAATATGCTCAGTTGTTGTCAGAATATGGAGGGTTCGCTTCAGACGCGTATCGGTACTGCGTAGAAATTGCTAAAGGAGTTGCAGAAAAGTGGTCCGAGTACGGTCGGGATGAAATGCTGCAGCTTTGTGATCTCGCTGATAGGTAACAAGAGCCTCTGCTTGCCATTTTTAGATAGGTCATTCCACAGCAACGCTGCAGAGTTCTCACTTTCTAATATCTTTTTGAGTCGTAAATTCAAGATATTTTTTAGGCTGCAACATGTAGCGTGTGCTAATAGTAGTGAAGTTTCCTGGTTTTCTGAAGTACGCAATTTTATTGAACAGTCCAATGTTACACCATCGCCTCAAGAAACTAAAGAAAAGCAGGTTTAGTTTTAAAATGAAGTTGGATTTCTTTACGACTTGTTGCATTACAGAAATTGATCAGTTGATTGGCAATGCCACATTGATTTAGGCTTCTACTACTGATTGTCCCCCGATAAATGCATCTAAAGCAGATCCAGATCAACAGAAAACAAGGTATTTTAAAAAGGATTAGAGTGAGAGATATATATTTAGAGAATTTTAACTTGTTTTACCGTGATGAAGCTAAGTGTTTGCTTGAAGCCACTATGTAAGCCATAATTTTGTACATTTTTGTGTTTAGAACACTCTCTTTCGGTTCTGAAGCAGCAGAGTGGCATGCTGAACATCAAGAACCTCTTCAAATGAGCCCTATTGTAAGTGGCGCTGTACCTATTTCTGGTTTTCAACAGCAAACAACCAACACTGTTCCAAGTTCACAAAACGCTCATACTGCGGAAGGTATTCAACAAAAATAATTATTATTTAGCTTATGATAGTGTCTTTCTTAAGCTATTGGTTGCTTTTTTTTCCTACAGGTTTTTTAACTTGGCAGCTTCTTATTTGCAGTTTGACTTCCAGTGTTAGTTCCATTACGAAACTGATAGATAAAATTGTATAAATATAGGGTTTATGCCTTATACAGTGCAGGAAACGCAGCAACACCATATTTTAGCCCACCGGAGAGTCAGCGGTATTAGCTCAGCAGCCGCCCATTTAGATACGTCGCAGCAGGTTGGCTCTCCAGTCTATTATTTATTGCTTTATTTATTTATTTATTTTTTTGAATTATTGCTTTTTTCTTCTATTTTCATCTTGTACCATCGAATTCAGGCCGCTGCTTTCCCACCTCCATTGCCTACAGCACAAAAGCTTGAGAGGCCAGAAACTCATATAACTTCTGGTGAGCAAAACGTAGGGCAGCAGCAGTTGAATGTTAATGGAGAATATATGAGTGATCCTGTCACTGAACCTTATAATGCTGTCCACCGTAATTCGGAAGACCAAACAGTAAGGCCTGCCGTCCCTCCATCGTGTTATATCCCAGACGATAGCTCGAATGAAACTTCGTATGCAAACAGTAGTATTCAGGAAAGTATTTCTCCCGATAACCAGGAAGACAAGTCTAAACAGAAGGACTTTCAAGCAAGTTTTAAGTGCTCAGTTTCAGCAACTCCCAAGTTTTCATACAATGCATGATTGATTTTTTTTTGTATTGGTAATATGTTTTCTTTTTGTGTTTATGACATGGCTTTTGTTCAAAAAAATTTATTTATTTTCGAGAACATTGCTAGTTTTGCTGTTTCTGGTTAAAGAACATGTGGAGGTAAAGTTTGTTTTCAACTTATATCAAAAAAATTTTAAGTGAATCAGTGTTATTTTCCTTGTGATGATGTTCATTTGCAATTGACGTTTTTAATTTTCTTGTAGCATTCTGGCGAGCCGCCTACGCTTTTGGATGTGCCTTCTCCTTCCGGAATGGATGATAGCGTTTTTACTGGAGGAGATTCCACTTATGGTGCTGATGCTGCTGGGCATCAAATACGCTCTAGTCTTGACTACAGGAGCGACAGTCAAGTGCCATTAGGTATTTTAAAAGAAATCTAAAATATGCCTTTATAATTTGGTTTATTAGTTCTTCGGTTATTAATTTCATTCATCGGTCGTTCCAAATTACTAGTTTCAAAAAGAGTCGGTTCAATTCTAATATTTTTTTCTACTGTGGCTTCTAGGTTTGCTTTTACGTTGATAAAAGCAGCTTAGCTTATTTTCAGCTAGCGTTAATGAGCCTATGAACAACACATCTGCGGCACAAGTCCATGCTCTGTCTGAAAATGATCAAAATAAGGTGCATTGGCTTTCATTTTTGCATTTTTGAAAGTTTTCTATTGTGTGAAATGCATTTGTGATCATTTGCGTAGTTTGTGTAAATCTTGCTACCTTTTAGTTGAGGAAGACTTCGGAGGCGAGTAAGACTCTTGCTGCTAACAATCACCCTTCTGGTATTTTTAGTATGCTCAAAGCAAGATTAGCAAAGGCAATCCCATCTGGAAACGAAATGATTTTGCCGGATGATAAAAATCCTTCGGTATTTTTCAGTATTCATGCCACTTTCTCTTGGCTCATTCTTACCGTTTGTCTAACTATATGTAAGAGCCTATTTAACTGCAAGGGACAGAAAATATCTGCTACTTAATTCTTCTAAGATTGCGCCATAGCTTTTAAATGGTTTATATCTAAGATTGTTTGGGACCCCGTCCAACAGAAGTATGTTGGTGATGGAGTTGAGGAAGAAAAAATTGATAGTAAACCGCCTTCGACAGCAAATTCTGCGCTTTTGAACGGTTCGGGAAGGAACTCTAATGTAGGGTTGACTGCCGCTCGTTTAAGTGGTGGTTAGTTTCTCAATTTTTCTGTTTTTTTATTTTCCCGTTCATTCTGTTCTTTTACATTTAGTGATTTGCGGAGTACATGAATTTTCTGAAAGAAAAATTTTTAAGCTTTAGTTCACTTCATCGTATATTGAAGTCCCCACGCTTCACTTGTTGTTGAAACTTCGGAAAGTTAATGAGTTGATGGGGCAATAGATTCCTTAGTTAAATGTTGGAAGTTATTCCTGCAGCTGTTTGACATGATATATTCGTCACTTTAATACTCTCCTCCTGTTTAGGCTTTAATAGGCGACTTCATTGTTAGTTTCTTTTTTGAACTAAATTAACTCGTTATTTCCTTAAGGTTCCCGCTACTTCAATCCTTTAAATGACATATCTGCCTCTCAAAACTCGACTACGTCTCCAGCTCCAGTAATGCCTCCAGTAATGATGCCTCCAACTATCGGCTTTATTCCTTCACCTCCAGGTCAATCTCTTCACAGCTAAATCTGGGTTTCTGTAGTTAGTACAGTGCCCTTTGTTGTGAATAATTTAATGGTTTAGTTGGGATATGCTTGTTAGACCTCGTGCTCTGCTCAGTAATCCTGAGACCCAGATTATATAACGGAGCGCCAAAGTCTCATATTAATTCGCGCCCCTTATTCAAAAGATAAATTTACAGTAAATCCTGACTTTTCAGATGACGACAATATGGTTGCTGAAAGCCCATTTAGTGTTGATACCTCACCTGTTATCCCGTCGAATACTGCTGCTACGTCTTAAATTTAATTACGAATCAGCGGCACAGGCTGGTTATTATAAGGGTTATAATTTCTCTGTCGGCTGCTGTCTTTCGTCCTCAAAATTTAAAATATGAGACTTTCAAGTCTGAAATTTTGCTGGTTTTTTGGTCACGGTACTTTTTTAATTTTAATCCGCAACTCTCCGTAGGAACTGTTTCAAGATACCTTTATTGCTCACTGTTGTGTAAAAATTTGTTTTTAGGGTGTTTCATTGACTTTTGTCTATTCTTTTGTCATACTGAGTTGCGGTTGCTGTTATTTTCGCATTGGTTCCGTTTTTTATTCTCCTACTTTCCTACTTGTTCAGCCAACTTCTTGTTATAAGTTATGTGGCATCCCTTGCCATTGTCTTTAGTTATGAAATTTTCGCTCATTACGACTTCTACTAATTCATGAAGGACCCTCCTCTTGCGTTAATGTTGAGATATGTTTGCTGTGATTTTCTAAGTTTGAAAGGTAAGTATCTTCTTTATTACTACGTCTCTTTTATTGTGGGTGATTGTATGCTTTTGTAGCTCAGATGTGTCGCTGCCGGTACTCGAAGCTTTCCTGGCGGAGGACAGTTTTTAATAGGTCATATGTTAGATGGTGAGGGTGTAAGAATGTTGTTTCCTGATTCGCTCTTATTTAAATATTTCTGAATAACCTACATTTTTCACGAAAAGTAAGATGGTACACGGAAACTAAGGGTACCTGCAGTATAAGTTTGATGTCTGCTCACACTGGGCAGTTATTTATTTATTTATTTTTTCATAAATGGTTGATTAAATTGTGAGAATGTCTCGGTGGAGGAAAAGAATGTTCAGAGAAGTACACATGTGATATATTTTGTCTCATCTATATTTGTTTGTATTCTTTCAAGTGGTTCAGAAAAAGCAAATTCATTTAGTGTACGTCCATCTATAGTACTAATCCTTCATGATGTGAAATATTGAAGTATGCATTAGACTTTCGCGCCGAAGTGTGAACAATAAAGCTCCTGGTTTTGGGTAAGAGGTGTACCGATTTTTGGTGCTCTCACCAGGGTTTGTGCTCTGGCTGACGTTGATTCAGGACAGCAATTTTAAAGGTGCATTGATCAGTAGGACGCAGCTGTCTTCCTCACATCGGAAACTTTCTCAGCGCCCTGTACCCACTAAATCCCGGCCACCTTGAAGTCCTGGCGGGTAAAGGAGTCCAAGAAATACTTGCATATTCCAAGCTGTCCAAGACCTCAAGCCGTGGGTAAAGTCCCCGGGTCCCGCAAGCGCCTCGGCCGCTTTGGGCGTACCAGAATCGCAT